CTTTAACTTTACAGTTCACTTTTGGAAAAAAATCCAAACCATTGTGTGGAGGGTAGCAAGGTGGAGGAACATTTACTGTTTTAAAGGATTATCAGATTTAGGTGCTACATTTTTATGTGTTGCTTTTCAACAGTGCCATTGTACCATACTGTCTGCTATTTTTCTAAGTGTCATCAACTTGTCAGCTCATAAGCAGGTGTAAAGCTTTGTTCCTCCCCAGGTCTCATGTTCAGTGAAGCCAATGGAAGTCTGTGAAGAGTGTTGTGTCAGGAGTACTTTTTTTTTTTTTTTTCCCAGGGAATTTAAAGGTAAACATTACTCTTCAAAATTAATGTCCTTTGTTGCCACAGCAAAGCAAGCAACAACACATTGCTAAATGGATTATTAAAAGTCCTGAAAACAGAAGAGGTGCCTGGGAGGCTGCACTCAGGAAGCACTTAAAAGCCTAAAACTCACTGGAATGTGCAAGTAATGTGAGCAAATTATAAAATAAAAATATCCTGACATGGGAAGATGAGTGTTCCATACCCAGCCACACACATCCTTATTCCCCAGTTGATACTTATGTCAGAAGGCAGAAAGTCCTCTGTTTGACTTTTTATAAAAACAAATATATATTCACATAATGCATTCAGATTTACTAAAGAACAGATTAAATTCTCAGATTTGTTAAAATGTGATGTATACAACGCTCTGATAGTGAGTAGCATTTCTGTCTATCTAGTCCTCATTAGGCACCACAGCAGGAAAAACAGGTGAACAGTTTCACCCCAAATCAAGCCACCATTATATGGGACTGTTGTTTTAGTGACCTATGTTATCACTTCAAGCAAGATTATACTATCTGAAATCAGCTAAAAGGATCTGTAGTGTTCTTAAGAGATTGTCAGCATACATTGCCTCTTTATGAGTGCAGTATGAGTAAACATAAATAAAAATTTTTAGTGCTACTGCACTGAATTTAGAATCTGACACTTCATTGTTTGACTGAGAGAAAGCAGAAAGAATTGAAGATCATCTGACTGTATCTCAGGTCTAAACCAAACATCTCCAATTTGTGAATGATTCCCAAGGTGTTATTGCAAGAGGAGACAAATCATTGCAGGTAGAGGGGAAAAAAAAGAGAAAGTTCATCTTAACTAATTCAGTGGAAGAGAGATCAGTATTACAGTCTGGATTTATTTTCTTCTTAAAAAAGACCCTAATCTGGAAGCCTTCCAAGGAGATCAGAACTCAATACTGGGTAAAGTATTATAAGAAAGTAATAAAAATATATGCTATTCCTTCATAGCATTCAGCTGAATAGAAGTAGCAAGGCAGAGAATTAGGACCTTCAGGTTCACTGAATGCTGTTTCTGGTGATTCTAGTCAGGTTGTTTAGCTATTGCTTCTTCAGGAATGAAGTGCAAGAAGTAACCAGTTCATTTCTGATTATAAAACAGCAAGATTATATTGCTTCTGTTGCTATCGCCTTTTATCCTAGCACGGTAAACAAGACATCAGCTATAACATTGCTTTTGACAGTAATTTTGATGAAATCTTGGTTCCTACTTTCTGTGGATACTGTGAATAAACTCTGTATGGTTCTAAAATTGTATTAAGCATACCTTGAAACAATAGCGCTTCTAATTTTTCCTCCTGCTTAAAGAAACTTACATCTTGAAAGATTAGAGGTATTTAAAGCCAAGTAAATGAAAATACAGAAAACGGAGTACATATTTGTTGCTTGGTAGAAAGCATACTATACCTCCCAATTTTCAAAGATGATAAATTTTAATTATAAACCTGTTTAAATTTTCTATACAGCTGTGTGAATTGAGAATATAGCTATGCATTTTAGGACAGAGGACATAATCTAAGAGTTTAAAAAAAAGCACCAAGTTGTGGACTCCTAAAACATAGAAGCAACTCTTTCCCCCCTCCTCCTCCTCTGTATCTCCTGTTTTACTTCATTTCCCTCCCCCCAAAACAGTGATTTTTACTTTAAAGTAAAAGTATTTCAGAGTTTCTCAAATATTTAGCAATGATGACCTAATTGGAAAGTGCCAGGTTCTTTTTTATTACACTTTATCAATATTGTAAAGGGAATGATGTAATTGTTTGGGGTTTGGTGAAGACATTCCATGTCACTTCAGTGTTAATACCAGGCTGGAGCCTTCCTTGTCTGCCTGCGTAAGCTAGATAAACACAGACCTGTGTGCTTTCTTCTCATCTCAGGATACTTACTCAGAGAGATCTTGGAACATAAGCCTGTTGCGAGCTAAACATTTCAACTTTTCATTTTATCCATGTGCCAGAAAATCATTCCTTGGATAAACACTTTACATACTGACACTTTTAAAGTCACTAAACACGATAAATAAAGAGCGTATACATCATTTCAAAACCGATTAAACATTTTCTCACTTGTGACAAATGAACAGCTATATACTGTATGGAGTCCCTGGAGCAGACATTCCATTTTCTTTGTCTTTATTTTGTGTGGAAGATTAACTTTCCATTTCAGCTCATCTATTGCACAATTGAGCTTTTCTAAAATACACATTGCTGCATTCTCTTCAAATCATTATTAATTTTAGAAACATTTTTGTTGTTATTGCTGCAAGAAGTTTTCTTTTAGCCTTTCATATTTTTATGGAGATATCAGCTTTAATATTTTGTGCCCAAACTAACAAGGAAAAAAAAAAAAATCGTAGTTTTTACTGAAAGCTAAAGAAGTGCTATTGTGGGGTAGACCTTATACATGGGCTGAAGTTATCCACTTCAAAAAGAAAAATCCAAGCACATTAATCACATTAATTTTGCTCCATCTAATCCATCGCTCTTCCTTGCACTACTTGCTTGTCTAGTTATCCTATGCACTGATGTTCTACCAATGATAAGCCAAATGTAACTAATCTTTTATTGAGCTTTTTAAGATCTCATCTTCTTTTTCACCCACCCTCTGCCAAAAAGGATCCCAAGCATTTTAATTTTAAGCCAAATAAAAGATCTTAGTGAAATAAATACCCATAATACTAAAAATATACCATGAAGTTGCCTTCAATATTTCAACAAATACCACTAATCTGATTGAGATTTTTTGTGGGAAGGTGAGAGGAAGAAAGAGAAATGTGGAATAGATAATAGTAAAAAATAACTTTGCCCTAATGTTGTTCTAGCATAATTCCTCATGTGTTCCACAAAAAGTTTTGTATGTGATGTTATCCTTGCTAGATATTGACAGCAAAGAGGAACAATGAAGCTGAATCTTCTTCTTTGACAGACTACCATGTAATAGGAGTTGATGCACTAAACCTAGGACAAAGAAAGAATTGGGACAAGTCAGAAGAAGCAGACCGAGCTGAATAAGAATCCAGTAAGCAGTTTGCTTTCTTCCCACATATTGTGGATGCTAGATATACCAACAGGAAGTTTTTGATATGATGGTTCCAGTGCAGTCAGGGAAAAAAATAAGAATGGAGAGTGAATTAGACACCAGAAGACATGAGAAGTCACAAGATTTCTGAACAGATTGCAGATTCCTCTTGTCCTTAGATATCTTTCAGCTTTGGACGTGTAGTCTAATCCATTTGCCACAGAAGAAAAAGTTTCCTTAAAAGAGCAGAGATCACAAAAAATCTCTTCTCCTAACAGCAGTTTCTTCTCTCAAAGTTTTATCGTGAAGAAGATTTTTAAGGATAAGAACTATGTAACTCAGCAGTTAAACCTAAGAAATGTCAGGAATGTCTTTCATATATATATACACACACACACACATATATATATATATATATACACACATATACACACACACACACACACACTTGAGCAAGAGGTATGATACTAAGCCAAAGCAGTACTCCCTTTGTTCCATTTTTTCCATCAGGATCTCACATCACTGATATACCACTAAAGGACCTACCATCTCGTTACAAGTAAGGAGGGAGCTTCTTGTGGCAGAGGAACATCTACTCTCCCCTTGGCTTCCTTTTCAGGTATTATCTTTAGGACATGGCCCAAGTAAATAGGGAGAAGATGTGGTGCTGTACCAGGAAAGACATCAACCACACTGTGGCATTAGAGCAGGTAGCAAATTTGGGCATTGGTGCCACAGAATGGCTAACAAACCACAGAAAAACTAGAACTTTTTATAGTGGTATATTTTACCAGAATCCTATTGAGAGTCTTCATATATTATTAATATATTAATTAGCCTATATTCAGTGACAGCTGTAGATAGTACAAAAAGAAGATGCTATTTTTAGTGAAAAAAACCCAAAACAAACAAATGCAGGCTGTCAGTTTCACTAAATCTGGACTATAAATGGTGTATGTCATATTTTGATCTTTTGCTGGGACAGATAAAAATCTGTCCCATTTAAGCACTGCTGCTGGAGAACTTCTGGAGAGCACTGCCAAAAAATCAGAAGAAACCACAAGTTGTGCAATTCAGTGAAGTTCCCAATTTTGAGAACTCTCTCAACTGCACACATCTGTAATGAAATGTAATTAGGTATTTTGCTTTTTGCACAAAAAAAATTTGAAGATCTATTAGCAATTCTACAAAGGAAGTCACATTTAAATATACATATCATTAGTATATTAAAAAACAGATTTCCATTCTTTACCTTAAAGCAGACATTTTATAAGCACAGGAAGTGGTACCTAATGAATAATAGTTCTCTGGGGAATGCTATGTGTCTGTCAAATCACCATGATTCTGGTGTAGTATGAAAAGTTTTCTCTCAGTCCAAATGGTATCTTGGGAATTTATTTTTACATAAGGTACATGCGTTTTTCAAAAGACAGAAGTCATGTGCAGTATTTCTCTAAAGTTGTCTAGCTTTCGTGTCTACATTCCTTCATCTTCTTTCCTAATTATCAAATTAAATATAATTTCGATTTCTGAGTGCATTTCTTTCACTATTCAAAAATATGATAATGCTAGCTAGCAACACAGCACCTTCTACCAAAACATATTTTACAAAGAAAAGTTTCACTTCATTGTTCTTTCTTACCTTTTATGTGCTTCTGTCAGTGACTTCTCTTCATTTTCTTGGTCTATTTTAGCTGTAAAAATATAACCAAAGAATTAGCTACAAGGTGAAGGAGGAAGATGTTGTTTCAGGTTAATGTTAAATGTAAATATGTAATGTATAAAATATATAGAAATTGCCTAAGGATATACTCATGTACATTAATTCTGAAAGAAAAAAAAACAAAAACAAAAACCCCAAACCACACATAAGCTACGTGAATCCTGATATCCCTATTAAAAACCAAACAAAACACACCACCACAGAAAAAAAAAAATCAAAGTAAGTTCGGAAAATTAAAAAAAAAAAATCTTGCAGTAATATAAACAACGAAGTCATGAAAGTGATTTAAAACCAGATTTTAAAGAATTATTCTGAAAGCTTAATAAATATGGGAACTGGTCTACCAAGAGGAGGAAAAGCTGAGTGAAGAACAGGAAGGATTCAGTCTTATACCTTTTCTAAAAGTTGCTTGATAGTTACAAATAAAAGCTCTCTTTCCTCTCCCTGCACACACATCAGTTAGTGAAGCATTAGAGCCTTAGAAGGCCCATATTGAAAACATGAAATTTTTTTATATGAAGGAAATTATCATTTGGTGATCATGTCAAGGAAATTAAAAATATGAAACTGTCATTGCCACACAGTGGTGAAAAATTATCTATTTTTCATGTGGTTTATCATCTTTATTTTGTATCCATTTCACTTAATTTAGATGGGTATTCTGATATACAAAATCCACAATAACATGCATATTAACCTAGGCATCAGCAATGTGCAAAGCAATAGTACAAACCACTCTATGCATGTATGCTTAGGTGAGATTTATACTTATACAGTCATTCAGGTAGCACACCTTAAATCCCATTTAAGATACGCATGCTTTAGCCAAAAGCTTTTTAGTTTGAAACTTGATCCCCTTTTTCAGTCTGCTGGACTACTGGCATGCTAATTTGCAAGGAGAATTTTAGGATTCCAAAGAGTCAGTGGGTTTTGGGACATAAAGAGGCTCTGAACTGTCTCGGAAACATATGTCAATGGTATGGAATTCATACAGAAATCTAAAAAAGAAGAATAAACCTTTAAGCTATTTTTCATTTTGCCTTCCCTACACAGCTCTACAATAATAATTCATCGAAGTTGCTTTTCTACATTAGAGACACATTGCCTTTGAAAAAGGAAATCCTGATTGTAAATTTTGAAATAATGAGAAAGGCAATGAAATTATTAGGGAACAATGGTAAATCGCTCCTTTTCTGTTACAATGTTTTAATCAACAGCACTTTACAAACATATACTAAAATAGACACGTGAAATCTGTAACAAAGATACACACATGCAGTTTTCCCATTCTTTTCCCAGTCAGAACAAGAGTTATGTCTGATACTGCAAATGCTTTTTATTAGTAATAATGTAGTCTGCCGAGTAGGGTGAGCAGTGCCTGGATGCTTGCCGCAGCAAACATTGTATTTAGTAATCATTACTTGAAGACTCGGAGCATCATCATTGTTTTGCTGAAAGTGAAAAAAATCTGAGCAAACCACAGAAAACTTGAGGGAGAGATGGGTAAATGTTCTCAAGGAAATTCAAGAGCACGTGAAGCCTGCCTGATTACAGGTTTCAATACTGACTTGAAACTCAGCCCAGATTCTTCAAAAGGTTTATGAGGGCCCAAAACCCTTTTGAGTGAACTTGGGCCCAGTGCTGAGTGAATCTGGGCTGGCTTAGAGTTTTTCTTGAAAGCCTTGACTTGCTTTGGATATGAAACCAGGTGAAACCTGGTTTTTTTTTTTTTTTTTTTTTTTCTTTTCATACTTTAGTCCTGAAAGTCAAGGTATAACTTGTAAAACCATACGGTGCAAGAGAAGAAACTGCACACAAATTCCCTGGATGAAGGGAGATCCAATATCTAATTCTGCATTAACACTTTAACTAAGTATCTGCAGATACAGCTTCTAAAATAAATAATTCTGTTACTGAAAAATGTAATTTGGACTTCTTCCACTTTGATAACGCTTGGAAATGGAAACTAGCATGTTCCAGCCTAGGGACAGTCTTTTAGTACACATATAATATTCATAGGATATAATTATTTTTATAATTTCCAGGATTGATGGAATATAACATCATCTGAGCTGTCTAGTTTTGGTTTTTTTCTTCCTTATTTCAACTGTTCTGCACATGCTTACAAACAATTATTTACCCACCAACAATGGAGCAAATATTCCACAATTTACTTTTTGAAAGAGTGAAAGCACAACATATTATACTAGGCTTATCAAAGCATGTCAAAATGCCCCCATTTTGAATCAAGTTTTGTTTAAATTTAAAAGTTCCTGTGGTCCAGAGAGGAAGAAAAAAAAATACTTCAGGTATCTCTACTTTTAATAATTTCATAGAGAACAGGTTTTACTCAATGAAAAGAATACTGAGAATTCCTGAATAATGCAGGTGCAGGTAATAGCATTTTTTTAAAAGTACTAAGTACTATGCATAAGGCAGCTACAATAAACACAGAGAGAGGGTTCATACAGCATCAGATCACCTCTTGGCATTAAACAGTTTTGCAAGGAAAGAATTTCCTCTAAAAGAGAATTCCCTTGCAGTCTGTTCCAAATGTGATGACACTTCTAAACCTTTTGCATATTATCAAAAGGATATTATTAAACTGTAAATCTGACTTGCAATCCATTTGCTTATTCATTTTTTTAGACATAAAAAAGTTAAAGAACAGTATGAAAACAATTCTGCTTCCAAAAGACAACAGGTGGCACAACTGAAAGTGAAGAAAATTCAGTATGTACACTCAAGGATCTGTCCCCGTCCAAAGAAAATATTCAGATGACTGCTTTTGCACTCCTATACAGTAAACATCTGAAAGCTGTGGACAATGATTAGTCAGAGACATGCATTAACCAGCAAGGGAAGAAAGCCTCCTGTTACCAAACCCACAACAGTCTTACATCACCAGGATACAATGGAATAACTATTAGATGTTGAAGCATCTGGAGATTCCTACAACTTCTAAACCGACCACTAATATGATCACCTGATATTAGTGGTTATTGGCATTTTGCTCTGTACTAGTTGCCCTATTGGTAAACTGCTTTCAACTCACTTTTCTTGTTTGAGTAGGGGAGGAAAAAAATAATCAGAGTCATGACCAATTCAGCTGAAGCGTCCCAGAGTACATTACACTGCCATTTCATTCAATATGCTTCTTTGCTGACTTCTTCCTCCAAAGCAGTTCATCACAACTGTAAAGAGAGTGCCTGAAAGGCACCAGTTTGGCATTCTTACTTCTTGGCAGCCTGTAATAATGAAGTGCTAAGTACCAGCTGCAAGGTGTCCATCTTGGGAGAACAGTCTTGTGAGGAAAGTGTATTTACTTTTACAAAAGAAAACTCCTCCAACAGGTGAAGTAAAAATGAGAAAATACCTACCTATTCCACAGTGATCCTGCCATGGCAATAGGCAATACAGGAAAATTGGTCATTTCCAGGGATATCATGGCAGCTGAGCACAACTGAGCACACTGTTCTGCCACTAAAATTTCTCTCTGCCCTCAAGAAGCAAGATTACTTCAGAAAGTGTTATTTATTTTCTTTGAAAAACATTTAAAAAAAATCTTGTAGTCATCTAGTAGCCATATCTGCTTTCATATATATTTGGAATCTGTCCAGCTGACCATAGCAGCGACTGGTTGCAGACTTTTCTGACAGATGTAGAAGTTCCTGCTCTTGGGTCAGTTATCTTTCCCAAATGAAAGTATTCCATATTTTATTGACTCATCATCTTTTCACCAACCAATGGTAAGAGTAGTTTTCTTGATCCTTGACACTAATTTACTAAACCACTTCTAAATATATTGTTCCAAATCTATTAAAAACTATATCATACCAGGAAATAATAGCCCCTATATTTCATGTAATGCATCAGTAAGCAGAGGTAAAACAAGTTTTATATCTCTGCCTGCATACACTCAATATACTGTAGGGCTTTATATGCAGCTCCCATAATCCTGAAGGCATATATATTCTGAAAAACCTACTTTAAAGGATATAGTTGAAAAATAACCTGAGGTCATATTGAAAAAACATCGCCATATGAAAAAAAGAAGAACATTTTAGAGTGAAAGTGACCTTTCATGAAGCAAAGCTGCCTTATCTACTATTTACAATGTATACTGAATTCGTTATCTTTTCCCTTTTTCTTTTGAAAGCATCTTTTTAATGTCTTCTTGTTGGATGATATTCAACTGTTTGCTGCCTTTTCCATTAAGATACCTTCAGATTACTTAAAGATGGTCTACCTTTAGAGCAAGGTCTATACTTCCTAAATACTTTATATATTTGCTCAAAATTCAAGTACATTCCTTCTTTCCTATGTCATTCCTTACCAAGCATGGACTGTACTATATCCAAGACTCTTCAATCAATTCTTTTAACTACATAGTATGTATTTCTTTAAATTTTACTCACATCAGATCTTCTATCTTATAATTTTTGTATTTGCTTAAATTTACTGATTGATGTTTTATAATTGGGGCATAACACCTGATTTCATGCAATTCAAAATGAGCTTTCCAATATGGTCTCACAAATGAAGTCTAATTAATTCACAAAAGTTCTGTCATTATCAGCATATACCCACATTCCAGAATAATACATTCCATTGTTCTGCATGTTTGCTCTTGCGGTTCTTTTAGATTAGATTACATATAAACTTCTGCAAAGGCACATACAAAAATACCATATTAAAGTGATCTATGCATTTATGAAAATATGAAGCATCTCACAAAACTGAATGTGAGAAGTATACACAGGCATTGTAGAAAATAATGGTCTTTAGCAGAACAGTATCATTCACTTTTTGGCAAATAGTTTTTTTTTTTTTTCTTTCCTCCCTGTAAGAAACATGTAAGATTATATTAAGTGAAGAGGGGTTCAAAGGTAAGGACATAAAAGCAATTTTTTTGACCACAAATTGTCCCTCTGACCTCAGTGGCAAGTGACATTTCAGACTAATTATGCT